TGAGTGAAAAGAATAATACAGAATGAACAGAAAGGGACTGAATATGGCCTGAGATTACATTGCAATGATGTATTTTTTATCAACAGGAAGCTTAGAAAGATGTACCATCACCATCACTGGAATCAGGGAAAGTTACACACTTGAAAACTTTGCACTTTGAACATAAAACGTACCCAACCTGTGACAAAAGTTTTTAAGTATAAGATGAGGATACCCATCCTCTCTATCTTTGAGGAATCTTCACAATTTGTGGATATCAATATTCATATGGAGGTTAACTTAATAGCATTCAAACTCTCTATATATGATAATACAATTATTGAGGTGAAAAAGTGAAATCCTCAGAAAATTATATCAAGAGCCATCACTAAGTTGAATTTTGGAAATAGGAAATTCCAAAGAGGTGCTTGAATTGGCTTTTTTTTTTTTCAGTTTCTTAAGCGCACAAGACCTTAAACTCCAACAAGCTTTTAAATCATAGAGGCTTAAAAGCATATTTGGCTAATTTTTGTGGTCAAAGAGCTTAAAACATTTTTTGGTAAAAAAATAAGCTTTACCACATTCAGGTTACCCATAGAAATTCAAAAAGTTACAGAGCTTTTATACAAAATAATAAAAAAAATAAAAGCTCCCATGCCAATTTTTTTCCCTTGTGAAAGCTTTTAGTGGAAAACTAAAATCTCTTTCTACCATTAATTTTGACCAAAAAATTCATTATCAAAACAAAACACATACTTTGATATTTCTTATTTAAAATACAAATCAATTTTATCATTTTTAGACATTTTACTAAAATCTTCATTTTTATCAAACACCTAATAGCTTATTAGAGCTTAAAAGTTAGAAATAAAAAATTAAGTATCCAAACACTTTTTTCCCTAAACCATTACAAACTTAAATCTCAGTGGAGCTAAGAATCCTATGCACTTGTAGTGCTAAAATAATGAACCAAAGACTCTCTGAGATAAAAAAATTGTTTACATACTTGAGTAGTGCTTTTTAAACTCCGGCAATCCAAATACCCTTTCTAAATGCTCTGTTGAAATTTAATTAAATTTATTCTTGCAAGGCTTTACTAGAAATTGACAGCCATTTTTCAGAAAATCAAGGGATCATTAATATCTCTTCTAATTTCACATATAACCTTTATTGATCTGAAGCTTACATGTAAAATAGACACCAATATTAACTAAGAGCATGCTACTTTATCAACTAAGCAAGTAAACCATAAGCATCTAGTTTCTAGTTTAACTTTGCCATTCTACTTTCTACTCAAAATCTTCCAAAAGAATTTTTGAAGTACTTACAGCTCTACAAGATGGACATCGACGGTAGATCCGCTTATTGGCCGCTTTCACGTTGATTTTTTGTCCTTCACAAAAGTCACAAAGTAACCATCCTTTACCGTTGCAAGGTTCACACATAATCCCCACATCGACCTTTAAGGCAATGACATGAGAGAATGATTTGCCATGTTATAAGGAAAACAAATTGAGAGAGTTGTTTAGCAACCAGAGCTCTAAAATATTCACTTTTTTTGCAATTATGTTATGTTTTGTTCTTTCCTAAATATATGTTCATATATTAATGGAGATGCAGGTTGCTTCGACGAGCCTTGAAAGGAACAGATGATATAGGTGTTACACCGACCTTGGAATTACTCCAGCAAGTTCATGATCAGACAACTTAATAAATAGACAAGGTAAAGCAATTGAAGTGACAGAGCAAAATGAGAAATGGACAAGACCAACATCCGAGACGTGTGCCATTAGTACGCACATAGCTTGATCAGCCAAGTGTAATTATTGCTATAGCCAAATGGGCAAATCATAAAAATTCAAACTTTTTCAGCTGGTTTTATCTTGAGCATAAAGGTTCACACCATCTTTATCAAAATCAGTTTAGGAGTGTATATCAATTGACATCAAATTTAGGCCAAACAATATCCAAGTAATGTAAACCACGGACACATTCGTATACGTTACTTGAAGACGAATGATAAACTATTTTAAGTGGGAGGAACAAGTAGAAGGTTTTTGCCCACATAATTCAAGAGCCAACTAATGAGTTAGTTAACATCCCACTACTAAAATATTAAAATACATATATGATCAGGTACATACATATATATATATATATATATATAATAACACCTACCTCTTGCCGGACTTCCTGCAAGGGCGCACAATATACTGGCATAAGCGAGCACCTTTGCCACTGTCCTCTATTACTTGACGGGAACGAAACAATCGCCCCTAGATTACTGAGCTTGGGAGCCACCATACACATCGCCATTTTCCCAAAAACCAGCTCCTTCCCGGCCCTTCCTCCCTATCCCCTTCCCCTCTCCCCCCGGCCCCCCGGTTCTACATTATCCTGATTCCTGATACCTGACGGGCAAACAAGACTGGCCACCAATTTCGCATCTAATTACAAAATTACCACCTCTTCTTAAATTAAACAGTACCATCCGGAAAAAAAAAAAAAAAGTGGGAAAAATAGACCTGGAGGTCAATAAAACTACAAAATTGCCACAACGTGCTCTGTTTTCTGTTCTGTTTAGAGGGGAAGTTCATCTGATCTAGACGGTGCAAGGTATTGGCGGGAAATGAAAGTTGCCGAACAAAGAAACTGCATCTCTCTCTTGCTGCTTGCCTGGCTATCTCTCGGTGTTTTGCCTGTTCGAGCTGTCCCTTTAGCCTCATGTGATCCGGCGTATCAGAGGGACTCACGAACCCTCCGATCAGATCAAGTTACGGTCCTCATCAATGGCTACTCCACTTCCCGGATCCCGCTCCTCCTGTCCATATCCGCGGCATACGCAGCCTCCCCAATCGTGTCATCGGTACTCGTGCTCTGGGGAAACCCTTCCACCCCGGCCCAAACCCTGGCCGAATTGGCGCACAATCTCACTCTCTCCTCCTCCGCCACGGCTTCAATCTCTCTTATTCGTCAATCCTCAAGCAGCCTCAATGCCCGATTCCTTCCCAGACCATCGATTGAGACCGGCGCCGTTTTAATCAGCGACGACGACGTGGAAATCGATCCGAAGTCGGTGAAATTCGCTTTCAGGATATGGAGATCGAATCCCGACCGACTGATCGGGGCTTTCGCGAGATCTCATGAGATTGATCTGTCAAGGAAGGAGTGGATTTACACGGTGCACCCGGACAAATACTCGATCGTGCTGACCAAGTTCATGGTGTTAAAAAGCGATTATTTGTTCAAGTATAGCTGCGAGGGGGGAGCAGAGAGGAGACGGATGAGGAACATAGTTGACGAGATGCGTAACTGCGAGGATATATTGATGAACTTTGTGGTAGCGGAGGAGATAAACGCAGGGCCGATTCTGGTAGGAACGGAGAGAGCAAGAGACTGGGGAGATGCGCGGAACGAAGATGGTGATGAAGATGGAGCGCTGGGGTTGAGAGATGGTGGAAAGGGGAGCAAAGTAAGGGAGGTGGGGTTGAGTAGTAGGAGAGGCGAACATAGAAGGAGAAGAGGAGAGTGTATAAGGAAATACCACAGGGTGATGGGGAAGATGCCATTGAGGTATAGCTACGGGAAGGTTGTTAATTCAGTCGGGGAGCAAGGTATGTGTAACAAAGGTGGGAAGCTGGTGTTTTGTGATCAATATTAAATATTAATTCTATCGTATCATTTTAGAAAACAAAATTATGAATTATCAAAGGAAGAAGTGCGTTCAGATTTAGACATATATTCAACCCCTCCCCCCTCTTTTTTTTTTTTTTTTTCACCATAAATTTAATTTGATTTAGTGAAAATTTTAAATCAATTTATTTAATACGATTAAATATATATATTTTCTAATTTAACTACTTTAATTATGAAAATATTATGCTCTAATGGTTCTGCATTTCTATTTATATACACTATTAAGCTAATCATTAACTCTCTCATTAGATCATATAGTTTAATATAATTAAACAATTAGTTGTATAATTTATTTGGTCACTACAAATATACTTATTTTGTTACGTTTGACATTCTCAAGTGAGAATAGTATATAAATAGAAATATACATGCAAAGTTTATTATCCATCCCTTACCATGGTAGTAGTATATACATACAAAACAACATGAGATACAACATTTAAGGTTATGGTACAAAAATTTAATGGTACCCTTAGAATATAACTTCCAAAGTTCTTATCTAAACCCTTAGAGTATTTTCTTAATCTAAAAATTTTTACAACGAATTTGGGTGAACTTCATTTGTTTAGTACCAATGTACTAGTATTATTATTTACAGAGATAATTAACTAAAATTCACAGAAAGTCAAAAAAAAAATATACTAACATAAATAAAATTTTAAGAAAACATTTTAATTTTTAAAAATTGTTGAAAATTTTATAATAAAATTTATTCTAATTATTTTTTTAAATATTATGCAATTTTGCCTTCAAAGAACCTGTAACCTTTCAAGAGGCAGCCACACATTCCTCTTGGAATGATGCTATGATGGAAGAGATTGCTATGATCACAAAGAACAAAACTTGAACTTTGATCCCTAAGCCAGAAGGCAAAAAGATAATCAGTGTCAAGTAGATTTACAGACTCAAGTTAAATTCCGATGGCTCTGTAAATCGGTACAAAGCTAGGCTGGTGGTGAAGGGATATGCCCAGACTATGTCTACGTCATTATGAAATGTGATTCTGTTATTAAATTTTATTTTCGGATACAAATTCTTATTATTTTTCTTTTTCTATATCTTTTTACTATTACAACTATAAATTTTCTTTTTATTCATATTTATTAATTCTTATTTTACTTTTTTTTTTTTCTCATTCACATTCCACATAATTGTCACATACAATGATTCACATAAACTTCCACTTCCTATGTTACTTATAATTTTACTAATAATTTAATTTATCACATAATCTTATTTTTTTTAATATAATTATGTACTTTTATTTTCACTCATCAAATGATGTTATTGTACGATATTGTTTCTATCGGTATCAATAAGGCCATAAGAGATCACTTTACCACATAAATAGGAGAACTAAATATTTATCACAAATTGTGTATAAACAATAACATTCATTAAGAGAATACTATACAAATCGATTTTCTAACTACGTTCGATATGAGACTTTTCAGTCACATCTTATTGAGGTAATCATCTATCCATGGGTAGAGTTCATCAATACTATCTGCAAATTTCGGTGGTCACACAAGTATACACTCCTCCTTCATACCTTTTTGACACTCTTTATTTCTTTTCCTCTCTTACTTATCTTGCAATTTTTCTCAACATATATTCCCACTATTTTTTGCTCATTTTATTACCTATTTGCCCCTTATTTCTCTTTATTACAAATGATTGCTAATTAAATCTTTGTCCATTATAATGCCTTTATTTTGATTAAATTTTGATCTCTCTCTAAATTTTAACCTTAATTATTTGAAACTCGCTTATTTTCCTTAACACGCTCTTTCTTATTTATTTCATTTATTCTTATGCATTGGTGTATTTCTTTTATTTTATTTATTTATTTATTCACAAATTCTTATATTTTCATATTTTCTTACAAGTTCCCTAATATCAATACAGAATGCACAGCTCCAGGAGAGGAAATACTTTCTAAAATGTGAGTTCGGGTAAAATTTGTTGGGATGCTCACCGAGCATTCGACGTCACCATAAACCATGTTTCCATTCTCAATGTGTCGAGGAACTCTGCCAGGGATCCCAACCACCATATCTATTGGATTATTCAATGAGTCCTCCTGGGGCAACAACCGACCACCGCCATTCACCACCGTAGATCTGAATCGCGAACGTTGGCTAATAGTTTTTCCCACACGAAAAACCTAAATATCCATCTGTATTGGTTAAGTATGAGGTGGAAGGCAAAAGGTTGAGACATTGTGGCCTAAACCCTCGCAAAACCCCAGTGGAGGATGGGTTTTGAGAATCTGAAAAATGGAGGAAAGCCATTTGCAATTTTTATTTTCTGCAATTTGTCGGTTGCAGCAATTTCATGCTGGGTTTGGATTACGATAAAGTCACCAGATGGCGACAGGTTTTGGGTCACAAAAAGTCCTGATTGGCCCAAATAGCAACCCATTACTATTTCTGCGGAAAATCTTTGGACTAGGAATTATCTACATTCATAAATTATAGAACTAATCTCGCTATAATTAAACAAATTACTCCTACATAAATATAAAATATAATAAGTGAATATATATTTATTTTTGGTAATTCAGCATAAATGTATTTTATGCATGCATTGCGTATTTCTTCTCATCCGAACAGAAAAGGAGCTGCTCCTCCGTTAGAGTTCTAATCGGATTCCTTTAATCATGCCTCTATATAATACACCATACTCCCTCACTTTCTTTTCATTCACTCCTGATTTCTATTCCTCTCTCATCCATCTTAAATCTTCTGACCTCTGCGCGTAATACATACATCTTCTAAGTATTTTGCTGATACGTTTATACACGTATAAAAACAGCTATGGCTGGTGGCTTCGTTGCTGCTGGCGGCGGAGATAACAATTCAAAAAATTACCCAGGAAACCTCACTGCTTACGTCGTAATTACCTGCATAGTCGCCGCCATGGGTGGATTGACTTTCGGGTATGACATCGGTATATCTGGTGGCGTCACGTCCATGCCTCAGTTTCTGCAAAAATTTTTCCCATCCGTTTACAGGAAGGAGGAGTTGGATACTTCCACCAATCAGTACTGCAAGTTCGACGATACCAACCTCACCCTCTTCACTTCTTCTCTCTATCTGGCTGCACTCGTCACTTCCTTTTTTGCTTCATGGATCACCAGGAAGTGCGGAAGAAAAACTTCCATGCTGCTCGGCGGTTTAGTTTTTCTCGCCGGAGCTGCCATTAACGCGGGTTCCAGAAACCTGGCCATGCTCATCATCGGCCGTCTTCTCTTGGGCTGCGGCGTTGGTTTCTCCATTCAATCCGTCCCAGTCTATGTTTCCGAGATGGCTCCCTGCAAGCACCGAGGTCGTCTCAACATTGTCTTCCAGTTGTCAATCACCATCGGCATTCTCGCTGCCAACATCATCAACTACTTCACTGCGAAAATCGCCGGCGACTTGGGATGGCGTCTGAGCTTGGGTTGCGCAGCAGTCCCCGCACTCTTCGTCTTCCTCTCTGCTCTGTTTCTCCCCAATACCCCCAACTCCATGCTCGAGAAGGGCCAAGCGGAGCAGGCTCGCGGCATGCTCAGACGCATTCGCGGCGTTAGCGACGAGGAAGTTGAGGCAGAGTTCAGAGACTTGGTGTCCGCGAGCGAGGCTGCAAAGGCCGTGGAACATCCATGGAGGAAATTGAGGGAGAGGCGTCATCGTCCTCAGTTGATCATGGCTATCTTTATTCCTCTGTTTCAACAGATAACTGGTATCAACGTCGTCATGTTCTACGCTCCCGTGCTTTTCAAAACTTTAGGATTTGGAGGCAGTGCTTCTCTTCTCTCCTCTGTCATTACTGGATTGGTTAATGTGTTTGCAACCAGTATATCTATCTACGGAACTGATAAGTGGGGAAGGAGATTTCTGTTCCTTCAAGGTGGAGTGCAGATGTTTGTATGCCAGGTTCTGGTAGCAGCACTGATATGGTGGAAATTTGGAGTGAGCGGAGGGACGACTCAACTAGCTACGTGGTATGCAGTGCTGGTAGTGGTGTTCATATGTATGTTCGTGGCGGCATTTGCGTGGTCGTGGGGGCCTCTAGGATGGTTGGTGCCGAGTGAGATGTCACCTCTAGGAATCCGATCGGCGACGCAGAGCATAACAGTGTCGGTGAACATGTTGTTTACTTTCCTGATCGCTCAACTCTTCCTCAGCTTGCTCTGCAGAATGAAATTCGGCCTCTTCTTCATGTTCGCTTTCTTCGTTGCCATCATGACCACCTTCATCTTCTTCTTGCTGCCGGAGACCAAGGGCGTCCCCATTGAAAATATGTCCACCGTCTGGGGCAAACATTGGTTCTGGAAGAAATTCGTGCCTGGAGATGAACCACAACATGACGGCAAAACTCCACGGTCTCTGGAGTTAGTCTAGTCTAGGCTAGTCAAGTATCTTAAGCATTTTTTACTTGCGCTTTTTTTTTTAAATGTATTTTCTGCCATTCATTGTTAATTTTTTTGTACTCAGAATAATTTGATTTTTGAGTTAATTCCAACTTTCTTTCCTTGCTGTTGTTATAAGTGAATTTGCTTAAGCATTCCTTTCCAGGGTTAATGTATAGGCAATAAAGATTGTTAACATAACAATTGGTGAAGCTTAGGAATATGGTCTCAGAGCACACAAAAACCCATCTAATTTGAGATCTAAAATATTTTAATTACTTCAAATACAATAAATCCATTATAAAAAATTATTATTATGATGATAATTCACTAAAATAAATATATAATTTTCGAAAAATATACTTCCATTAAAATTTTAAAATTTCGTTAGTCTCATCGAGCGTGGGGAAAACTTATTTTATTTCAAAAACCCAGCTCCTCTGCTGGCCTTTCTTTCTCTCTCGTTCTACATTATCCTCATGTGAATCAAAAGGACAAAGACGAACACCAGGACCCGAACAGCTACAGGTGTGCATGCGTTATGTGAAAATTGTGGTTGTTTGATATGTATACATTTATAAGCTTATTTAAAAAAAAATGTATATACATTTATAGGTGTCTGTTGATGCAATTTGGTTCACTTCATAATGTTGGCAATTCTTTAGTAGGCGTTGGATGAGGCAGACACCATGCTCGATCTTTGTTTTGGTCCTGATATAAGAAAGTTTCTTGGGCCACTAAAACACTGTGCATCAAAACCAAATGGCCATGTATTTCAAACTAGTCTGGTCACCGCAACAATGACAAAGGTATGCTGACTTTGCAGGGGGGAGGGTTTGCATGCCAAATGAAAATTTATATTGTTGGTTGCGGCCATGCTCTGCTGTATAATGCTTTTCCTTTCTGCAGCTCTTAAAAGGTAACCGGCATGTCTTTTATGGCCATTATAATATGCCTATTTTCTCTTCTCCAGGCAGATAAGGCTCTGTTATGAACAATTATATTTCCTTCTTCATAAATATTTCTCCACGCTAATGGTAACCTATTTGGCATTTATTATTTGTCGTTTTCAGAACAAAAGTAGAGAACTGAAATCCTCAATAGTGATCTTGCTGCACTTTGAAACTCTTGAATAAATGTTCTCCTACCTGGCGTGTTTTGGAAAGAATTTGTAAAGTTTACTGTTTGAGGTCTTTCAGGCAGTCAAAAGCTGATTGATGAGGAGTTCGAAGGGTTAGTGCATTCGGGAAAGTCAGCATCAGCTCGCCATGATTTTATCAAACTTGCAGGTTCTGGAAACAAGCTAGAAGCATTTTTACAGGTTATTTTCGTCCTTTATCATTTATTTTCAATTGGCTGCTTATTGGCAATAAAACAATTGTAATGTGTAACCTGATATTTCTTTGCTTATCAACTCTCTATTAGGTGCATGCTGATATGTTGCAGCAATGCACGATCCAGATATTTAATGTCTTGATGTTCAGTTTGTTTTGTCTGAATGATAAGGTTTAAAGTGATGGATTGATTTTGTTAGAAGGAAAATGGCAGAATAAGTGGCTGGCGATGGTTTTGTTTTTATTTTTATTTTTTCTTAATGCAATTAGAATCATGCCCTTTGATTAACCATGGTGGGCGTAATATTTTTACATGAAAATTTGCTGCTTTCAAAAACTAATTAGGTAGCTTTTGTAGAGAGAAAAAGTAAGAGAGAGAGATGGCACAGAAACAGAGCATAACCCTGCAAAGTTCTCTGTTTCTGTGCTTCGGTAAAATTGTGAGAAGATGATACAAGAAAAATGGCTGCTTTTTCATTCATGTTTGCATGGCTTAAATAAATCAATTTACAATCACATATCCTGTTTTTTCGTGCAAGTGATGATCTTGTACACAAACTCAATTCCACCCTTATCCGGTTACTACATAATTCAAAGAAATCTAAATTTAAAATTCAAATGCAAGTTGATAAAAATAAATTTTAACTGATTCTTAATAATCTAACACTCCCCCTTAAGAATTAGTCCCTACAGTTCCTAACTTCCTTCTCATCATTTCGAATTTCCCTTTTCCAAGCGGCTTTGTCAGAATGTCCGCCAGTTGCTCATCGGATGACCAATAAGTAAGCTTGATTTCACCACTCTTTTCAGCATCTCTAATTGCATGGAACTTCACATTAATGTGCTTGGTTCGACCATGCATCACTGGGTTCTTAGCAATTGCAATGACCAACTTATTATCCACCAAAATTTCGGTTGGCAGAGATGCATCCAGCTTTAGATCATGCATTACTTTCCTTAGCCACACCGCCTGATTTGCAGTACCTGCAACAGCAATATATTCAGCTTCAGCTGTAGATTGAGCGACCACTTCTTGCTTTTTAGATGCCCAGGAGAAAACACCAGAGCCAAATGAAAAAAAATAACCAGAAGTGCTGCGTGCATCATCTAGATTCCCTGCCCAGTCACTGTCAGTATAGCGTAGCAGCCTTCCTTCTCCCTTTGTCTCATATAGAATTCCATAATTTTAAGTACCCTTAAGATACCTCAATACATGCTTTGCAGCTGCCATTTGATATTGTTTTGGAGATGACATAAATCGTGACAGCAAACTCACAGCAAATAGCATATCCGGCCTTGAAACAGTGAGATACAACAAGCTTCCAATTAAGTTTCTGTACCTTGCCTCATCTACTTTATCACCTATTTCATCCTTAGTTAACTTTAAGTTTGGAATTATTGGAGTAGAGACAGCTTTATACTCCATCAAGCTGAACTTTTTAAGTATTTCACGTGCATACTTTGCTTGAGACAGAAAAATCCCATCTTGAGCTTGCTTTATTTCCATCCCCAAAAAGTATGTTACTTCACCTAGGTTGGACATCTCAAACATCTCCTCAAGCTGTTCTTTGAATTCTTCCATTTTACATGGATCATTACCTGTCACCAGTATGTCATCCACATAAATAGCAGTGATCAGATTCCAGCCATACTCCTTTTAAATCCACAATACAGTAGTTACTCGTCCAGCTTCTGGTACTAAGCTCGTGGAGCTTGCTTAAGGCCATACAAAGCCTTATATAGCAGATAAACATGATCATCTTTTTCCTCAACAGTGAATCCATCTGGTTGATCAACATAAATTTCTTCTTGGAGATCACCATTTAAGACTGCAGACTTGACGTCCTGGTGCATAACCTGCCACTTTGAATGCGTTGTTACTGCCAGGATCATTCTGATGGTTTCATGTCTTGCAACTAGAGCGAATGTGTCCCCAAAGTCAACTCCTGCAGTCTGGGCATATCCCTTCACCACCAGCTTAGCTTTGTGCCGATTTACAGAGTCATCGGGATTCAACTTGAGTCTGTAAATCCACTTGACACCGATTATCTTCTTGCCTTCTGGCTTAGGGATCAAAATCCAAGTTTTGTTCTTTGTAATCATAGTAATCTCCTCCATCATAACATCCTTCCAAGAGGAATGTGTGGCTGCCTCTTGATAGGTTGCAGGTTCTTTGAAAGAAAAATTACATGAATCATATATTTTAAAGAGACTTCTCATCCAAACTCCATCAGCACTTCCATCATCTCCAACTTCCTCATCATTTTCCAATTCAAAAGGGAATGGAGCTGGTACAGATTCATCTCCTCTTGTCACCAGTTTTCCTGCCTCATCACATTTTATTTTGTTTTTTACCCAATTCCACTGTGAGCCTTTATCTATCACGACATCTCTCCTAATCATAAGCTTTTTGGAGCTCAGCATATACACCCGTCACCCCTTTGTTTCTGTACTATAGTCGAGGAGAATTCTAAGCTCTCCCTTGTCATCTAACTTTCTTCTTTTTTCATTAGGAATTAGACTGTAACAAACTGAGCCAAAGATCCTGATGTGGGTAGTCTCGGGCTTCCTGCCATGCCAAGCTTCAAATGGAGTCATCTTCTCCAAGGCCCGAGTGGGCAACTGATTAAGCAAGTAAACAGATGTGTTTACTGCTTCAGCCCAGAACTGCTTGGGCAAGTATTTGTCATTCATCAGACATCTCCCTATTTCCACCACAGTTATGTTCTTCCTTTCAGTAACACCGTTTTGCTGCGGTGAGTAGGGGGTAACCAGTTGCCTTTTGATCCCTTTGAGAGCTACAAAAATGTCTGAATTCCAGTGAATTATACTCAAGTGCATTATCAGTTCTTAACATTTTGAGCAAACACCCACTTTCCTTTTCTGCAGTCAATTTAAACTCCTTAAACTTACCAAACACTTCTGCTTTATCAGACTGAACAAGTTGAAGTTTTTCTGTTGCTCGTGTGATGGCTTGTGCAAGAAATGGTGTTCTATGCATCTTGCTCATTTAGCATACACCGCAGACAGTGTTGGTTTCACCAAGTGAAGGGGGATTGAGACTCAGGTTCTCAATTTGCAACTTCTTCGAGCTGGACAAATGATAATGTCCAAACCTTCTGTGCCAAATTTCACCCTCATTTGCACTAGCATAGCAGGCCATGTGTGCTGGCCTCTTCATGCACAACAGGTAATTTTGATTTATCTTTGGTGCTGTTTCAATCTGCTTCTTATCAGGATCATAAATCCTGCAGCATTTATTCTCAAAAAGAACCTTATACTCATTATTTGTCATTTGATTCACATTTAGCAAATTTTGCTTTAATGTAGGTACAAAAAACACATGAGTAATATGTCGTGTACCTAGGTGGGTATTCACAGAGACAGTTCCCTTACCTTCTGCATTCTCGAACTTGCCATTTTCCAACCTCACTTTGTCTTTTAGAGCTTTGTTTAGATAGGTGAACATGGACTTGTTCTTGCACATGTGGGATGTACACCCACTGTCAACGATCCATTTTGTGTCATCTTCGTCTATTACTTCATTTGAGGCCACATACAAGTTTGGCGAGACTTCACCAATTGCTTCGGTGATGTTCGCTTGTTGAGGTTCTCTTTTAGGTTGGCCTTCATTCTGCTTTTGCTTCAGCCTACAGTTTCTTTCTTTGTAGCCAAGCTTTTTACAGAAGTGGCATTGAATTGCCTTCTTGTCCTTGTACCAACAATCCTTTTCTAGATGGTTGGTCAAGGTACAAATTTTGCAAGGAGAAAATTTTGATTGCTTACCTCTGTTTTGGTTTCCTTGTTGCTTCCCGATTGAGCTTTTCTCTCCAGTCTGCTTTCCTTTGTTCTCAATTCTAGATTTGGCTTTTATGAACAAGGCTCCTTCTGTGTAATTGGTTTCCCTCATGTTGGTTCGCTGCTCCTGTGAATCCAGTTTATTGATAAGGTCGGTTGCAGTGATGGTATCAGTATCATTCAGCTCCTCCAACACAAAGATTTTGGACTCAAATCGAGCTGGTAAACTAATTAGGATATATTCTACCACTCGTGAGCCAGGAAAGTTTTCTCCCAGCAGCCTTATCTTATTCACAACATCCATCAGCTTTGTTGAATACTGTCTTACTGTTTCATCTTCTCTCATTCACAGCATCGCAAATTCTCCTTTCAATTTTAGCAACTGTGTTCTTCTGTTTCTGGTACCACCTTCAAACTCTTCTCTAATTTTGTCCCAGACCGACTTAGGGGTCTTGTAGGGCATGATCCTACTAAATACCGCATCTGAGACTACCAAGTGAATGCAGGTAAGCGCACGAGGCCTTTTCATAACCTCCTCTTCATGCCTTTTGATCTGGGCTAGGGACGTCGTGTCCCGCAGTGGAGGTGGCTCGGTGTCATTGAGAACTACATCCCAGAGGTTTAGTGATTGCAAATAGATCTCCATCTTCAGCGCCCAAACATGGTAATTTTCGCCATTGAAGTGTGGAGGTGTAGATGAGCCAGAACAGGTTGCCATTTTTGTAACGGGTTTTTGAGATTTTTGAATTGATGAATAGGCTTTATTCTTTTCACAGATCCCTCGAGACAAGAAGCTCTGATACCATGTAATATTTTTACATGAAAATTTGTTGCTTTCAAAAACTAATTAGGTAGCTTTTGTAGAGAGAAAAAATAAAAGAGAGGGAGGGCACGGAAACAGAGCATAACCCTGCAAAGTTCTCTGTTTCTGTGCTTCGGTAAAATTGTGAGAAGATGATACAAGAAAAACAGCTGCTTTTTCATTCATGTTTGCATGACTTAAATAAACCAATTTAAAATCACAGATCTTGTTTTTTCGTGCAAGTAATGATCTTGTACACAAACTCAATTCCACCCTTATTCGTTACTACATAATTCAAGGAAACTTAACTTTAAAATTCAAATGCAAGTTGATAAGAATAGATTTTAACTGATTCTTAATAATCTAACAGTGGGTACATACTGTTGGGCTTAGACTATTTTTTTTATGTTATGTAAGAAATGTAGTTCGCTACAGATGCTTACCAATACTCAAATTCAGCATTATAGTGCTGCAGATAACAAGTATGAGGTTGGACTAGTCTTTTTATGTTCAAATTTTGTAAATTTGAAAGAGAACTGCGCTTTCTTCAACAGAAGATAACAAAGAACGGTTGGGACTCTAGATGCACATTCAATCCTTGTTAGCTTTATATATCTATACGTCTAAGCGGGCCTAATCACAGTTAAGTTTTATTTACAAAAGTGGAGTTGTAGAATAAATATGACATTTAATATTTTTTTTACCTCTGCAACATGAGAGCATTTTTTACAAGAAAATTTACGAGGTTAAGTGGTGATGTGAAAGCAGGTTCTTGAGCCAAGCTTGGCTACGGGGAACAGGGTTGATAGTGTTCTGTAAAACTTTGAACTCTAGTCATGCTGTGAATCATTTCTTTACTGAGAATCAGATCTCAACTGTCAATTACCATGGAGAGGTGCCAGCAGAACAAAGGTGAGGTGAGCTAGACATACTTGCTTCCTACGTTCTGTGCATTTATCATAGATAATACCATAACTCCAGACGTATGCTTATTTTGAGATCCCAACTACTTTATAATTGTTCAGGGTTGAAAATCTAAGAAATTTAAGAGTGATGATGTGGATTACCCAATATTGGTCTGCACAGACCTTGTTGCTATGGGACTGGACTTGGATGTAGATCATGTTATCATGTTTGATTTCCCTCTGAACTCTGTAAGCACCATTATGCTTTTGATTTTTGTAGTTTTATTTAGAATACATTCTTTCCTTGTAATTCTGATTCTTTTTTTTTTTTTTTTTTCTAATTCTTTCACATTTTCAGATTGACTACCTCCACGCACTGGAAGAACTGCTCGTATGGGTGCAAAAGGTATGCTATAATTTCCAAGTGCTCTCACTTCTTCTCTTCTCACCTGATTAAAATTGCAAGATACCGATGTCTAATTTATGTATTAGTAGCCGAAGTGTTCCATGGTTTATGTTAATTTATTATGCCAGATTAACTTCATCAGTTTCCATTCCCATTTATGTTTTAAGGTTAGTTTAAAGGCATTCTTAATGAAGTTACCATATTGCCTCAAGTTACATTAGTCCTTCCTCCTCCCATTAAAAAAAAATGATGCTTTACTGAGCTCCAAAAAAAAAGTGCTTTGTTGGATTTTATGAAAAAAGGATGGTCAATGTGTGCCCAGCAACCCTCATGAACCCAGACACGGGAACTCCGAGGCTGAACGATATTTATCCATGTAAAACCATATCTTTGTTTTGAGCAGGAACTTGTTTAAATTTCATGGCCTTCCTGGTCTCTGAAGCTGCAGAGGCTCTAGCTCCTGTAGTTGATAGCATCCTGTTCCTTTTTACATGAACAGTGACAAGTTTGGTGGCTAAAAGAGACCAGATGTTGGCTATACAAATTGAGGAGGCTATAAGGAAGAACGAGAGCTTGGAGTATCTTACTGCAGATAATGTTTGTAGGGATGTTGCTAGAGCTCGAATAATGCAAGAGAAGGGAAAGAGTGTGAAACTAATTAAAGCCTCGAGTGAGAAAAACAAGACTGCAATAGTGAAACCTCCTACTGTTCACAAGAAGGTTGTGCCTTCCAAGTCATCAGGAAGAAAGTCCTCTGTTGTGAAATCTGTGAAAGTACCAGCTCCATCAGAATCTTCCAAGAGAATAGTGAAGGTGTCAAAATCTGCCAAGCTCCCCACTGCCGGTAACTAAAAACGGGGAACTTGGGGTCAGAGGGACGAGGCAGATGGCAGAAATGCCGGTTGAGCTTCAAAAGTCGGCGTTGTTGGGTTCAGAGGGCGGTCAGTCATTGAGACACCTGATTTTTTATTTTTTCTTTTTTGTTTCTTTTTCATCAAACTTGCATTAGAATGCCTTTATTGTTAGCTTTGTATATGAAAAATTCTTGGGGGTATTTATACTGTTCTTCCTCTTTCTACAACTTTCTTTGTAGAATTATCCTGCATGGAGTGCTATTGATTCAATGCATGCAAATCATAGATTCATAGAGATGTAATGACTCCTTGTATATGTACAATCAAACTCACTGCATTATTTCTATCATCACACAAAAGCGAGTTAAGATAAGGGTTTTGTTAGTTCGATAGTTTCTAAAGATGAAACTTTTTTTTAGTGTGTTTCTGAAGATGGAACTCGAAACATTGAAGCAACCACAACAGTTTCTACTCAACATCATGCTTTCAAAAATTTCATGTTTTCTGTCATTACTTCCAGGTGAGCTGAGGGCAAGGAGATTTTGCCGGTGTAACAATGTTGCCTACTGAGTCATAGAATTACATCAGAAAAATCTGGAAGCTGACATTTGCCGCCCATGAGTATGTTCTTTTGCCAAACAGGTATTCGCTGCTGATCACCACTGAACAAGATTTCACTGGTATTACTAGGCGGGTAATCATGGATTCCTGCACCTTGCATTATAACTTCATTATTGTGTTGTATTATAGGCCATAAGAGCTTGAGCAGTCAACCCAGTGACGCCATTTTCTTGTATCTGAAGCACACATGAAGGGCAAGGGCACAGAGAAGGAAGAATAATTGCAGTTAGGCCAGCCTCAGAAATGCTTATTGGTGTTGGCGTTAAGAGAAGCTGTCGAGCCATGGAAGAAAATACTAATGGGTTTGTGTGGCAATGAAGTGAGGATTTTTATACCGTCCTTTATGGGATTTTAAAGATGGAATACAAGCAATAAAATGGTTTTCTCATTAGATCAAGTCATTCTAAAATGATTGCAAACGAAGTTATTAGGAAAAAAACATATAATCTCCATTAAGTTAAGAAAGAAGTTCCTAAGGGGGGAAATATCTCCCAACTGAGAAAAAAATTTTCGAAAGCGATAAACACTTTCTCATTTGAAACTGATGCCTCAAATGGGAGAAAACTTCTCATCTAAATGAAAGTCTCTAAAGTGTTACTAGAATTCTCTCAAATAGGAGTTCTCAAACAATAAGAATCTTTTAGAACGAAGAAATTCCCTAGTGTGAATTTTTTTTTTCATGTATTAAAAAGATTTGTTAGTTAAAAAAAAAAAAATCTAATAGAAAGATTTCCTGAACAAGAGCAACATTTCCTAAATAAGATAAATCTTTTAAGTAGAAAGAAAATCATTCGAGTGGAAAAAATTTTCAATATAGAGAATTTTCAAAATGAGAAAAACAACAAATAAATACATGTCAATAACAAATCCTAGATCCAATAGAAACCAAATGATAATTTAATTTTCTAAGAATTCACTTTGCATCCCTCTAGGAAAACAAATACCCTCACTGTTCTAAAATTCTTTTCCAATTTCGTTTAGAGACTCCAATAGTGGTTCCAAATCTTAGGAAAACAAATAACCAAATCCTTAGTAAATAAAAAGGTTATTCGAGGAATAAAAATCAAACAACATCTAATTAGAATCCTCATTTCTAAGAGTTCTAGTACTCATAGGAAAATTCTATAGGTGAGGGGTATGGTTGTAGGAGTTGACCTCACATCCAACTATTTGGAAAATTTTCAATATGTTTATCATCAAAATAGCATAGCGGAAGCATGATGAACCATCATCACCACATCGAATATTTTTCTCTTCAAACTAAAAAGAATAAACTGATTGTGTGATAAAATGGTGACTCGTATCTTAAGACCATATTTAAGAGGAGTCACAGAATTCTTGAGAATTTAGAGTGTACTCACGAGAATTAGAACTAAATGTAACTGATGCAATAAAACTAATGATTAAATCTCTCACTAAAAGAATTCCTGAGTACCTCTAAAAATAATCATCAATTACGTAACTCTCTAAGCCCATTTACACAATCACACTTTAATTATTGGAAGTTAGGAAACCAATAAATTAAATTAGACACTTAAAACTTAATGATTGATATAACCTTAGCTGAAATAATAATTCTTTAAGTATATTAATTATTTTTAAGGAAATTTAAATAAAGTATCATCCCGTTTAAACTCACAAATAGAGAAATATGCCTTAGAAACTAATTTAACGAAATGAAATTGAGAGAAATGTGAGCACAATTTCACCAAAGATGTTTCCACCAATGGAAATGTTTTAACCTCACTACTTGATTGGAATTGTTCCTAAATGACCTTCCTTATGAAATTAAATTCCAAATAGAGAGAAAACAAAGTCCCTAAAGATGTGTTTTGATAACAAAATCATTACCACGACAAATTTTAAAAAATAAATTAGCTCCTTTGCACTAAGAAAAATATAAAAACAATTAGGCGTCAAAGACGTTCCTTAAACAAATATTCTTTTATATATAAGAATTAGAAAAAAATAATATCACAACCTAAAACGATTCTGTTAAAGAATATGTCATAATCACTCCAATATGTTGACGAAAATGTCAATAGAATACATTGATAGCTATTTCAAGTTCTCACAAATGAAAATTTAAAAGATTAAATTTCTTAGGATGAGAGGAGATTCTCACCCGAGAGAAATTTCTCCAAGTGAAAAAGATTCTCCAATAAAGATAAATATATTTTTAATGAGAGAAAATCCCTTACTAACAAGAAACATTTCCCCAAGTAGGGAGACAAGTGATTCCAATTCCTTGACATGCAAATTGGAGGGCTAAATTGTTTTAAGGGGGGAGACTATAATATCCAGCTGGCACAAAAAAAAAAAGAAAAAGGATGCAGAGAGCAGGAGAAAACCCAAGCGGCAAATATATATATATATGTAATTAAATCATAGGAAAAAAAGAGATGAGAGATCGAGAATAGAGAGATGTGACTATGAGAGGGGAAAGGATCGAGCGGCATCGATGACTGAGATAGAAGGGTTTTGCCCCATACGCGACGTTGTAGTCGAGAGAGAAAGGAAGAGGAAGAGGAAGAAAAGGAAGAAAAGAGAAAGGAAAGGAGGCACGACGGCCATGGCACATCCGGCGGTTTTACAAAGCAGAGGAATACGTGTGTGGTGGCACCCAGTTATGTCATGTAATACTCAGTCTCGAAAATCGACCCAGGATAATCCTTTTTACTATTAAAATTATATAAATAATTAATTTAGTTTTATTTTAATTTAATTTATTTAAATTATTGAAAAAATGAAATAGGGATGAAATTGAAAATAAATGTGGTGTTTTTGAAAGAAAACTTAAAAACATGAGGCAAAATAGTAAAAATAAGAAATTCGACCACGTGGGGCGGCCCAATCAGCAGCCACAGCAAATCAGAGCATGCTGCATGGTAAAACACGTTGACATTAACGCCATGGGAGAGGCCACGTGGGCGATCTGCATGCCTAGTGATCCGACAATCCCGATCACGTCCCGCGTGCACGAACAACTCAGATGCATTTTGTCTTTAGGTATGATAGGACGGACTAGATCAATCACGATGAATGATCTAGATTCGCCCACGCAATTGACCTAAATAGACAACGATCATACGGCTCTCCTCGCTCTACATCGATGCAGACGAACGACCTAGATCGACACAGGATGAGTATTTAAACATCGCATCTTAGAAAACCCTAACCCTAGCGGTACCTGCCTTCGCAGAAGAAGAAGAACCAGACATCAGAGAATGAGATCAACCCCCGACTGCAGCCGCACAAAGCCACCGCTAACCGCCAAAAAAGGTAAAAGTTTCTCATTCTCGCTCGAAATTTGATTCTGAGTATCCTTGTGGCCATATTGGAGCAAAAAAGAATGGTAGGTGAACCAAAAACTACAGACAGAGCTCGGCGGAGCCACTGCGGCCAAAATCCTAAAACCCCTCCGATGAGCCTCTTTCCATTTTTCATTTCACACAATTCTTTGACCATTGTGTTTACTGTCCCTTTCTATGTAGCTTATCTGAATGAGAAACCCCAACCGCGAATGAGAACTAGCAGAGCCGCCGTACCCGGAGACCCCCCCGTCAGCAAGTTCGATTTTTTAGTTTTTCTGACTAATCGAAGTTTTCAAACGTGTTTCTTCGCAAGGGTACGTGTAAAACTGACCAAAACTAGTCAAAATTGGCTAGGCCAAGGAGAACTGCTATTGTGGGTAGCGGAGCTGGCATCGGAGCACAGCGGTGGCACTGTGCCGAAATTCTAAAATTGGCTAGAAAGGATTTTTAACACTGATTTTGGATTTTTTGAGTATTTTTAGATACGTGACGAGTATTTTGATTCTTGCAAAAAAAAATTCAAGAAAACTTGAGGTCCTTCAGGAGGCATAATGGATAACACAGCATTTCAAAATACCGATCTCGATAAGAATCTCTTATCCTATTCTCTATTACGATAAATAAAGGCTTAATAATAAATAATTCCGTATTTTGTTAAAATTTAAGAAATTTTAACAATAATTACAGGTCATTACTGGAGTCGGAATTGGTCAATGTACGATTGCCCTAGTTTACTATTCATTTTCTCCTATGTTGCTTAAGATATTTACTATTGCATTATGTGTATTAAATTACTATTTTAAATTGTATTCTCGATTATTTAGTTTATTTAGGTTTTTCTATACTGATTATTTGGTTATCTGGTTACTTGGTTATTCAGTTATGTAAATTGTATTGCTTGCTTAGATGTTATTTAAATTGATCTGTGAATGTGTAATATATTATTGGTAGTTGTTTGGACAATGAGAATCTATGTATATGAAAGCTTACTGAGTGCCCTAAGAAATGGTGGACGGACCAGGTACATAGAGAACCCTACTATGGATATTATCTCAGTCGGACGGGGTTGAGAAGTTCTTTACTAGAAGGGTTTAGGAAAGATAGTTCACCTTATATTGGATAGGGT